AAATATAAATATCAAAAAATCAATATTTAATTTTTGATAATACGGAGTATTGTCAAAACACGAATTATTACTAGTATTTAAATAAGACCATATTTTATATATGTAGATATTCAGCTCACTAATAAAGAATGGTCCATAAAAAATTTAGGAAAAATTGTAGTCACCCCCTTCTAGTTTATCATATCTTCAAGGACATCCTCTCTATTTTTAAAACTTCAATGACACCCCGGTAAGATTAAATGTGTTAATTAGAATGCATTTTACTAAATTACCCATGATATATTTTAGGAAAAACTTTATTCACACCCCTATACTAGATAGACATATCTTCAACGAGTCTCTCTCTATTTTCTAAATGTTTTTACGTATTAAAATTCGATTCGAGCTAATAAAATTTATTTTTTATATATTAAAATTTGATTCGATTGAAAATATTTTTTTACGTATTAAAATTTGAGCAGATTAAAATTTTATTCGAGGCTCAAATCAAATTTTAATCGGTCCAATTTTTGATACATAAAAAAATATAAAGTTTAATTGAATCAAATTTTAATATGTAAAAAATAAATTTTAATCAACTTGAATCGAATTTTAATAAATAAAAAATATAAATTTTAATCGACTTGTAATAAATTTTAATCAGGATTAACACCTCAAGTAGAACTCAAATCGACTTAAATTTTAATACGTAAAACAAGACTTTTAACAAGCTTGAATTTTCATACATAAAAAAAAAAAAATTTAATCAGCTCGAATCAAATTTTAATATGTAGAAAAAAATTTAATTAGATCAAATTTTAATATGTAGAAAAATAAAATTTAATCGACTCGAATTTTATGTAAAAATTTTTTTTAGTGTTTATGTAGAGGAAATTTTGGTATTTTAAATAATTTATTTTTGTTATAAATTGTGGTTTAACGGAATGAGATGTCAGTGATGTTTAAATATAAATTAAAATTGGGTATCAATAATATTTTTGATAATAAAGAGGCGCTCTTGAAGATATAGTAAACTAGAAGGGATATGATTGAAATTTTTCCAAAATTTAAGAAAAAATTTACTAGAAGATTTCTTAATTCAAAAGTTTCCAAAGATGGCTCGTATGCACCTATACATTAAATTTCCCACAATATCATCATTTTTAAATAGCTGTAAATTTATTTTTTAATATAGAATAGCTTTAGGGAGAATTATATTTTGAATCCTGAAAGATTTTAATATTCTTATTTTATACACTTAAATATTAAATTTTTCACATTTTATTTTGAATATATCAAAAGTGTTATAATATGATCATTCTATTTGCTTTTCGTTAGTTTTTCTGTCAATGTCAATAAATTGACTTTTAATAAAAAAAAAATAACAAAAGTTAACAGAATGGCGTATTATAATACTTTTGATACATTTAAGGGTATAAAGTAAAATTTTAATCTTTGAGAGTATAAAATAAAAAATTTAAAATCTTTCGGTGTACAAAATACAAAAAACCCTAACTTTTATAGAAACTTGATTTAAAATCACATTTCAAAAAGTGAAATATGTTCTAAAAATTGGTTTTTTTTTCCCATATTGATAGCATTTTGAGCTACATTTTAAACCTATAGGTGGTGACGAGATTCACGGTCTAACAAAGTTGGTTCTTGTCGCCAAAGTTCATGTGGTTGTAAAAATTTAAAATGAAATGCGTTTTCTTAAAAAAAATAAAAATAAAAAATACTTTCACAAAATGAATAATTTGCTTGTTTTGAGATGAAAATGTGTTTTTCTTGGAAAAATTACTGTCACAAAATAAATAATTTGCTTGTAATCGCCAATAGAGTCGAGATAAGTTACAAGAACAAGTTCAATGTTGACCATGCGCAATGCAAACTATTTCCAAGGACAAAGTAGATAGCAAATCAATTTATGGAAGTCTCCCGGTGAGTTCCTGCAATAGTTTGAGATAATTTATTTTGGGATGAGCTTGAATAAAATTTTTGAAACATGAAACGAGGTCAGATGCTTAAATCAGTCGATATTCAAGGTCGAGAGGATAAGTGTACAATGCAAAAACTAATTTATAATGCATAATTTATGCTCTGTTTTCATTGGGGTATTTTATATCTTCAAATGTGATGTCGTGATAGCCACTCGTGTACTTATAGCCTAGACTTGATAGTCTATAACTATCGAGTTGTGAAATAAGTACTCTCTATCATGCCTCATAAATGTCTAGTGATGGAACACAATCAGACTTAAATGCTCAGGAGAGCCGAGCATTTATGTCTTCCCACCCCTTGAACACCAGGTAGTTCAGATCCTACGCCAAATATTTATGGTCTATCACCAAGCATTTAGGCTTCGTGCTGAACACTCAATTTGATACCCATGAGGGCTATTCTCCATTAGTAAAGGGTCGTGTCTCCCTCTTTGGCGACTCGTTCATCACATCAACATTCTACACGAAATGTATTTCCCTAGAGTAATTAATCTTCATGATCAACTATGTATCTATTTGTCCCCTTGACTCAGTCTATGGGATGCCGTCAGTCGGTCTGAATCTATAGAAGCATGGATAGCACATTTGTTAGCTATTATTTACCACACGTCGATTTGTGATTGACGATTCTCCCATATCTTGATAGAAAGATCACCAAAAAATAATTAATTTTTTAACTTGTCCAACCTTATCAGAGAGTTAGATTGCACTCTTGTTTAATTTGATTTCAAATCTCTCCAAAATATTTCTCTCACATTTTCAATAATAAATAATATTACGTATTTACGGGAGACCCATTTATATCAAGAGTGCTATTCACGTGGATTGGGTAGGTTCAAAGTTCCACCTGGTTCAACCAAGAATCAACCCAAACCCAAATCCAAACCCTTTACTTTTGAATTTGAATTCTTGTTATCCAAACTTATTCAAATTTGAGTTGAGCACGAATTTGATCATCAAGTTACTCAATTCAAGTTGAACCCAAATCACATAACTTAAATTAAATACCATAAATTCGAGTTTTCAATCCAAGGATTGACTGAATTTAAATTGGGTTGAGATTTTTTGCTATTTTTTTTGTCAAAATACTAACTCTTTTGGAGTTGGTTGCTCAATTTGCATGTTTCCCATTTTTATATAGGGTAAGAAAAAGTAAGGGTACGGATATTACACATTATGAGGAGGAAGAAGTATTTCTTGAGAAATCTTCTTTCTTGTAGGCATGTAATGGGGTGCCAGAAATATGGAATCTCCATGCAAGCAAATGTTGAAAGAGTACAATATAAACAAAGAACTTTCACTTCGCCCATGCAAGAAGTGACCCACAACTCTACGTACCAAGTAAACCAACTCAATAACCCAAACGTTTCCACAAACATAAAGCATATTGGAAGTCTTCAAACAAACGAAAGGTCCAAACACAAAGGAACCACGCAACTAAAGGTATAACCAATATGAATGAAAACAGTAAAGAAGCCTAAAGGATCTTTCAATCCTCAATGCGGTACCCATGTGTATATAAACCCAACAAAACCCACCATTTTCTTCTAATTCAGAAAATACCCAAGAAAACTAAGCCAGGAAATAGACAAAGGATTGAATGGGGGAAAAGCCTAGTGCTGCAATAACTGAGAGGGTCTATGAAGAACTTGAACCATCAACAGAGTGGGTAGAGGAGGAAGATTGGTACACTCTTCTTGTCTATGTGTCTGGTATGTGGTCCATTTGCCCTTCTCCATTTTGTTTAGTTAAGTCCTTGTTGTGATATGATCCAATTATACATGTTTCAGAATGATTTTGAGAATAATTGTGCCACTATTTGTCAATCATTTACCATGAATTCATCACAAGATCATACCCTCGATTTCAAATATATGGATCCCCTACTAATACATGACATATATGATTCAAATAAACTCTTATTTATTTACTTAGTCCAATTCGGATGCTCGTGACAACATTATACTCACCGTTCCTCTTATATAATCCTAGCGATTGGATTTATATGTTCATTCTGATTGTTATATGCTATCTTTGTTTGAGATTAAATCTTTCAGGTCTAACTGAGATTATTTAATTTCAAAAACAAGGTGTTTGTGTCTATGTTCGCACATTTTTTCCAATATGGAATTCATATTTTGGCATAATAAAAATATTTTGTCTCATTAACAAATGAATTTTAGAGTGATGGATAATTATGTCTTAGTATTTAATCAGCATAATTATTTTTATGGATTTCAAAGATATCCAAGGCTTGTGAAAGGATAGCGCAGGTTGGAACAGAACTTCAAGCAAGCTCAAGTGGTTATGTATATAGCAGACTGATTGGGATTCGATTATTATACTTCACGATTTTCTTCAATGATAAATCACATGCCATATGCTAATATATTGGCAGGAGAAAAGAACCTCGCATTGCCAATGTATAAAGACTGTTTTGACATAACAAACAATCGTACTAGCAAATTGAAGTTGTGACTTTTGCGTTATTCTATAAATGATTCATAACTAGAACATGAAATCGATAATAGAAAAAAATATATAAAAAATGTGTAGTGAAGGATATTTCTAGATAGTCAACCCTTACTAAATTCGGCATAAGCTTGACTTTAGCCAAAGCAATGCCCAAGAGTCGGATCAACTCTATATGGTGGATCCCATTTAAACTCATACTCGCCGGTTTACATTGAGAAAGTGTGTTGATTTTAAGGCAGATTGACATCCATAAGACAATACGAACCCTTTAATAAACTAGCAATTAATGAATGAAAAATTTTTGTACATAAAAAATTAATAAAAAATATTAGGTATATAGGTGCCTAAATTAAATATCATATAAAGGTTACCACGCTTATTTTTTTATTGTTCAAATTGTATTACAGAATTATAAAAATTGTATGTCCCAATGATTCAATAGTCTAACTATAAGAAAAATGATAAAAAAAAATAATTATAATTAAAGTTCTATTTTTTAGAATTTTGGGACTGAGAGTATTTTATAGTAATGTTTGCAAAATTGAATTTTTTAAAATTTATTTGATTAGGATTCCACTTATAATTCATTGATTAAAAAAAATAATTGTCCATATCCTCCTAATTATATCGAAACCTTACTATAATTAATAATTAATTAGGGCAATTGGGATAAAATATACTGCTGACTATAATGATATATATATTATGGATAATATATTCAATTTAAAATTTTTATGGATATGAATATTTATACATAGAGAATAGATAGTTAAAACATATATTTGAAGATAATTTGGAGGTTCAACACATAATGGTATGATAATAATTTAGATATTTAACTATGTAAAGATATAATGACCTTTATAATTCTATATAAGGGTAAAATAGTTTGACGTTAAGTTAGTTTTACTAGTATAGATATGGAAAATGTTATTTGGATCTAATTTGGGGACCTAATCTAAATACCTAATTTAATGTAACCATGAGATTGGTTGTGAGTTTCATTTAACATTGGAACTCACAACTAATCCAATGATTATATTGAAACTATATCATTAGATCTCCAAATAAGGTTCATGTCCTATTGGTCATCAAAAAATGGTTAATTCATCAGCTATGTCATGAAGTCCTTTATATCTATATTATTGGCAATGAAGTCCTTTACAACAGCACATCAATGATTCATCTTACAGGTTTCAAAATACAACAACTAAAGGTTGAACGGGATAATACAAATCAGAACCTGATCATCAGTGGAGAACGCCCACTCGATCAAGCTAATAACAAATGGATTCATTTTAAGAAACAATTTCAGGTTTCAACAAACTGTGACACCGAGAAAATCAGTGCAAGGTTCGATCGTGACATGCTTTACATCAAACTACCAAAACTGATCACTCGTGCAGCAAAACAAGATCAAGAAAAGTCAAGCAGTGAAGCTCCAGAGCCCCAAAAACCCGAAAATGATAAGCCACAACCCCAAAAGAATGAACAAGAACAAGTTGGTCAAAAAACTGCTTCAATGGCTGATACAAATGGGACGTCTAATGGGTCGCAGGACACTTCAAAAGAGGTTGCTGATAAGGGAAAGGGATCAGTGGATCACAAAATGTCCGAGGGCTTCTTGGAGGAGAAGTCTTATCGAGGATATTCCAGGGCACCAAAAAAGGTGAAAAATAGAGGTACAGGTACATCTCAAGATCAAAATATGGGTGAAGATAAAAAAATGCCAAGAAATACAAGTGCAAACTACGAAAATGGTTCGATCAATGATGGCGCGAGGAGGGAGAGAGGAGACTCTGGAAAGAAGGATTACGGTGACAGGGCAACACTAGAGGGTGCAAAACTAAGGATGTCAAGGAGAATGATGAACATGGTCCTGATAATTCTATTGAGTTTTGTCCTTGGTTTGTACTTAACAAATTTAATTAGGTTTTGGAAGAAAGATGAAAATTGAGGTTCCCAATATACCATGATGAACATTTCATGCATGGGGTATATGTATATGGGATTTGATTAAATAAAAATGACTTGTAGTTGAAGGCATGTAAATAAATGAATGAAATTGGAAATGACTAGTTCTAACAATTACATTTGTGGGTATGGAAATCTGAAAATTTTGTATATTTGACACACTTTTTTTTTTTGTCCGGGCAAGTCATTCAATTTTATTTCCAAAAACAATATCTCTATTCTCGCACTTGATAACTTGATTTATTGACGTAATTCATCACAATTATTGAATTTGTAACAGGACTCAACCAATGGTGAGACCCACTGACAATGGTTAGATCAGTAAATCCAATGACAATGATTGATTAGTTATTGCACCTGATAATACTAAATTAAGTGAGTAAGAAAATGATCACTATGTTGCTTGAGCTATTTAAGGAAGCACTTCTTGATGGTGAGACACTCCCTAGCTCCTATTATGAGGTTAAAAAGATCATTCGTGACATGGGGCTTGACTATACAAGGATTCATGCTCGCAAAAATGATTGCATGTTATTTTGGAAGGAGCACAAAGATAAACAATAGTGTATAGAAAGAAAAGAGCCTAGATATAAATTTGATGATGGAAAACGAAAGCAAATTCCTCAAAAAAAATCTTATGTTATTTCTCACTAAAACTGAGACTACAAAAGTTATTTATTTCAAAGAAGATAGCATCAGATATGCGGTGGCACATAGAGAAGCATGTCGATGATGGGTTGCCGAGGCATCCAGCCGACACAGAAGCCTAGAAAAAATTTAGCAAAATGTATGGGTCATTTGTCCAAGATCCTCGTAATGTTAGGTTTTGGCTAGCAAGTGATGGATTCAATCTATTTTCAAACGTGAGCACTACTTATAGTCCATGGTCTGTTGTTCTTGTTCCATATAACCTACCACCATGGAAATGTATGAATGATCCCTTTTTCATTATGTCAATTCTAATTCCAGGACCCAAGTCTCTAGGAAATGACATTGATGTGTATTTGCAACTATTAATAGAAGAGTTGAAAGAGTTGTGGAAAGACATTGATGTGTATTTGCAACCATTAATAGCAGAGTTGAAAGAGTTGTGGGAAGATGGTGTCCAAACTTGTGATGCATTCACTAGAACCAATTTTCTATTGCATGCTGCAGTTATATGGACTATAAAGGACTTCTTTGCATATGGTAACTTATCAGGATGTGGTACTATAGGATATTTTGGCTTGTCCTATGAGACGTCATCTACATGGCTAAAGAATAGAAAAAAGACTTGTTACATGGGTCATTGACGTTTTGTACCAATCGATTGGCATTGATATCTATTTCTGGGGTCGATGTGCTCGAGCAATTGAGTCACATCAAAACAGTAAAATTTGGGAAGACAAAACCAAAGAAAAGGAAGCACAACGAGCAATTAAATTGGACAATATGTTGTATTTTCTTCAAATTGCCTTATTGGAAAACTCTTAAACTGCGACACAATTTGGCTGTCATGCCCATGGATAAAAATTTATGTGATAGTATTCTAGCTACTTTAATGAACATTGATGGTAAAACAAAGGACAACATCAAGACTCGTCTTGATTTGCAAACCATGGGTATAAGGAATTAATTACACATGGAGCTTGATGGTAATTCCTATAAAATGCATTCGACATGCTACACAATGTCCATGATTGCAAAAAGGAAATTTTTGCGAGTTCTTGGCTTCCATGAAATTCCCTGATGGCTACGCTTCAAACATGTCAAAATGTGTGATAAGTAAGGAATATTGAATTACAGGCATGAAGAGTGATGATAGTCACGTAATTTTACAACGGTCACTCCCAGTTGCAATACGTGGATCTTTAACTAATGATTTGTTTGAGGCACTAATTGAGATTAGCCATTTTTTTAGGAGGTGTGCTTGAGGACGTTGAAAAAAGATGCGTCGGAGCGGCTTGAAATCCAGATTCTCATAACACTTTGCAAGCTAGAAAGGATATTTCCACCTTCATTCTTCGATATTATGGTGCATTTGGTCATTCATCTTGCGCAAGAAGCAATTCTCACTTGGACCAGTGCAATACTAATGGATGTATCCGATTGAAAGGTAGTGTCTTGTGATTTTCTAAATGTAAATCATATGTTTGTGATGCTGATTATCACTCTTTTTTTGTGTCGTCAGGTACTTACATATATTAAAGTGTTATGTGAATAACAAATCTTTTCCAGAGCTGTCAATTGCAAAAGGCTATCTTGCAACAGAATGTCTGACGTTTTGTTCAATGTACTTGCATGGGATTGAGACAAGATTCAATAGAGTAGAGAGAAATTATGATAGAAGTAACAAACAAATGCATCATGAGAAACTTAGAGAGAAATTAGGATGGAAGTAACAAATGCATCATGAGAAACTAGTCAAATTCTTCATAAATTCACAGCAATGTCCAATATGATTCTCATGTTGTCTTTTTTTTTTCTTCCTTTTACCCAGACATTTAAGAGGGACTCTCCCCTTGTATTCAACTTGTCAACTGCTATCCTTCAACTCTCGAAGAATGGTGATCTCCAAAGAATTTCTGATAAATGGCTCCCTCTGAAGAGCTTTTAGGGTCTGAACTTGCAAGGCCTAGTAGATGTACTAATCGAACTACTATTCAAAAGCCAAATAATCATTACATTTTTTTTGTTAATTTCTGTGCTTTTATGGTAATACATTGTACACACGTACAGTTGCATGATACATGTTAGAGTTTTGTTTTCACGTTCATTGATTTCGAGATATATTTTTTACAATATCAAGTGTTGAGTATACCATTATTTCTTCATTGCCTATGTAATTTTTTTTATTTATGTAGAAAGGTGATATATGACTTAGAAAATATACAATAAAAATAATTTTTTTCTAAAAAATTAGTGATTTTTTTTATTCATGTCAACATTTTAGCCGCGACAATAAGTTGTCACTAAAAGTATGCTATAATATTTTAGTGATGATTATAATGGTGGCTAAACAGTAAATTGTTAGCCGCGACTAATTATTACCAATAAAAGTTAAGTTTTTAACATACTTTTAATGGAAACATAGTACATTTTAGTAGCAAAATTATTTTAATTTGTTACAATAATTATTGTGGCTAAATATTACACATTTAGTGACATTTCTTGTATTGTAGCTAAAGTTTTCCCATTTAGTGGCAATTTTTACAACATCATAACTAAATCATTTAGCCACAACACATATTGCTACGACTCAATGGCAACAAAGAAGTTGTCACTAAAACATATTAGTGACAATTTTTGTACATTTAGTCGCAATAATTTCTACTGCTAAAAGACCAATTGTTTGTAGTGACTTGTGCTAAGCATTGAAACAATAGCCCTTAAAGTATGCATTTGTGTCATTTGGATTTTTATTCTTCTAATAATGTCACTTTAGTTAGAAAATTTAAAGTTGAGTTTAAATGGTACAATCGATGCCGGATAACTAGACTGAGAATGGAAAATTACATGTGGTATTGATCAAAATGTATTTTTTGATCCCTAAAATATTCAAAAATACTACTTTGGTTATGGGATCCTTTATTTTAATTTCCAACATTTGCAATGCAAACCCAATATATATATAGTGTGAAGCAATCTGGTACCAACAATCAAGGCACTTATTCAAAAACGAAAATTGCCCAACAGTCCTTCCATCCCCATGCATATTTTTAACATCAAAACCACTCATACAATTTTTCAGTTCTGAAAGACACATATATTGTTTTTTTTTTGTCATTTAGTCTAAAATAAATTCATTTTTATTTTTTAATTAACTACATGTCCTTTAGTGTTTCACGCAGAAACAATTGTCGAATGATGCAGTTAGGGAAAAAATAGTAGATGGAGAGCTCGTCTTACTTCACTATGAGAGAGAGAGAGAGAGCAGTTACAATGTGTTTCCTCGCTCTATATTATCTCTAAATTGCGAGCGACAACACAAATAAAGCGCATCATAATTTTATCCATTTCTCTCTTTGTTATTTTTGACAAGTCTGAAAAGGACAAATATATGTGCAACTTTTCTCAACTTGTCATGAAGACTTTGAGACTATTTTTTATGCTCTCTAGTAGGATCTAGGGAAGTTGGTTTGTTATGATTCTACTAAGTATTTATGGTGGTTTTCTTTATGAATTTATATTAAAATGGGCAACAGAATCATGAAAATTCAAAATAAATAAAACAGATAGATTCGAAATATATAAAACAGATAAATTAAAATAAATAAATTCAAAAGAGATAAAACATAAAATTAAAATAGCAATGGAAATCAAAATTTTATTAATATATAGATAAATTAACCTAAAACAATTTCACAAATCTAAGACTTATTAAAACAAATAAATTCAAAACAAAATATTAATGGAAAATAAAGCCTATAAACAGATAATTTCCATATAATAAAAATCAAAGTTTTATTAAAACAGATAAATTCACATAAAATATCATAAAAATAAAGTTTATGATGCAGATAAAATCATGTTACATATAATGAAAATTAAAGTTTTATTAATACAAATAAATTGATCTAAACTTTTAAAAAATCTAAAATTTATTGAAATAGATAATTTAAAGTAAAAGAATCATGTAAAAGAAAGTGTAGGATATAGATAAATTCATTATTCAAATTTTTTTTTGTTGTAATTAAAAAGATATTGAGTAGAGTTAGAGATGAAAAGGGTGACATCACCACCACAGATGAAGGAGATTGAAAAGTAGAGATTTGAGAGGCATTGATGTATCGACGCTGCAGATGAAGGAGACGAAGTTGAAGTAAAGATGGAAAAAGACAATGTTGCCACCATAGATGAAGGCGACGAAAAAGTAGAAATGAAGAGATTGTGATTTGTCACCACTGCATATGAAGGAAAAACATTGAACGACGATCTAAAGCATCGACGGAGAAACTTGCTCCATGGATTTAAGCGAGCTAGAGAGATACTGTGTGAAAGAGGAAAATGGGATTTCAAACAAGTCTTTGGCATGACAATTGGCACCCTACTGGTCCTGTTTTTCCAAATTGGA